ATCATATTTGGTAAGGTGGAGGGTCAGAGAAAAAGAGGAAGACCCCCAGTGAGATGGATTGGCAAAGTGGCAGCATCAGTGGGCTCAAGCGTGGCAGCAGTTGAGGTTGGACCAGGACCAGGAAGTATTTCATTCTGTTTTCCTGATGATTGCTATGTATTCGCACTGACTCGATGGCATATAACAACAACATTCTTAAAAGGGCTTACTTGCTTAAAAACAGCAGGTGGTAAATAGATAGTTATCTGGGAAGTCTGATGGGTTCCTTTGAAGCCATGAAAAAAGGACACTTTTCTCCTGGCTTTTAATTATGCTTTAGCTCTCAAGCTGAGCTACAGTTTTCTGTTAGCCTCCACTAGAAGACCTGGAAGGAGCCCTGGTAGCATAGTGGATTACGAGCTGGCTGATAACTGCAAAATCAGTAGTTTGAATCTACCAGTTACTCCACAGGAAAGAGATGAGGCTCTCTGATCCCATAAAGGTTTATAGCTTCCTCTGATGAGTCTGAACCCCTGACCTTGCAGTTCAAACCAACTTTGCGGTCAAGTGCATTGTCCTTCAGCACCACACCAGGACTCCATTTGTGATTAGGAAAATGTAAATTAAACCACAACCACATACCAATAAACAGCTATTAGAATTACAGAAATTTAAAAGGTAGATCATAATAAATGTTGACAAGGTGTAGAGGAACTAGAACTTTCGTGCACTGCTGGGAATGTACATTAAAGTGGTACAATCAAAAGATTTATAGCCTCAGAAACTTTGTGAGTCAGAACCGATTCAGTGGCATATAGCCATCACCACCAACACCACAAGGTCTGGAAGAAGTGCATAGCCCTTCAAAAGACCCTTTGGCTTCAGACTTGTATGAAAACTAAACTTGCTGGAGCCATTGAAACTTGTTGTTGTCAGGTGCCATTGAGTCGGAACCGACTCATAGTGACCCCATGCACAGCAGAACAAAACAATGTCCGATCCTGGGCCAACCTCACTACCGCTGCCTCACTTGATGTCATCAATGATGCCACCTGGCCGATCCATCTCGTTGGGGGTCTTCCTCTTTTTCTCTGACCCTCCATCTTACCCAGCATGACATCCTTTTCTAGCGACTGTTTCCTCCTGACAATATGTCCAAAGTATGAGAGATGAAGCTTAGCCATCCTGGCCTCCAAGGAGCACTCTGGCTGCACTTCTTCCAAAACAGATCTATTGGTTCTTTTGAAACTTAGGAAACCCCAGAATGAAATGTTCAAAATTAATCTTTAAACCTTGAAACAAAATGTTCCATGAAATAATCATTAAACTAAGCAGCTATTTAGTCCAATTAATGTTTGCCTTGAGTATAGTGCTCATGGACAAGTTAATGTAAAGTGTGGGTGAGAACTTTAAAGGGCAGTGAGCCTAAATTAATGGTGATGAAACAGTATGGGTAGAGATAATGAGAATGGTGGCACAGTGAAGTATGGAACCAACGTTATTAAACTGTATGTGGAGAAACTGTGAATGGATGTGTGTTGGATTGTGTATATTGCCACCAAAAAAAAAATTTTTTTTAAATCCTTCTGACCTGCCATAATTCCTTGCCTTCTTTCCGGTGACTGAGTTACCTCACTCCACCTCCCTTCCCCACACTCAGGGTAGCACATAGTGTGAATAAAACCCCAAAAGCCCCCTGATATCTAGTCAGTTCTGACTCGTTTTTGTTGGTATGTGCTGTGGAGTCAGTGCTGACTCATAGCGACCCTGTACAGTGTTTCCGAGACTATAAATCTTTATGGGAGCAGAAAGCCTCATCTTTCTTCCATAGAACAGTTGGTAGTTTTGACCTGCTGACTGTGATATTATTAGCAGGCTGATTCATAGCTATCCTGTATATGGTTTCTGAGGCTGTAAATCTTTATAGAGAAGACCACCTTATTTTTCTACTACTAAAAGCCAGTGATAAGGAGCTCTGGTAGCGTAGTGGTTACAAATCGGACTGTGAACCAAAAGGTGCATTGAAGGAATTGGCAAAGAACAAGGCACCAAGAATTGATGGAATAAAATTGAAATCTTTCAAGAAAATGAGGCGGCACTGGAGGCACTCACTCATCTATGCCAAGAAATTTGGAAGACAACT